CTTGTCACCCATAGAGAGATTGTGATGCATGCTTGTCACCCATAGAGAATATTGTCACTCTCTGGATGATTCTATTGCTTTGGGTTATGATGCCGCTGCAAAATGTCTAAATATGATGTATTTATATGATATAAATGCTACTATTGAAACTGAAAATTTTCAGAATACATATAGTCCCAAGAGTCTCGAAAAACCAAATAAAAAAAGCAAAACCTAAATTTTGGAATCACAGTAGAGTCTTACTTGACTTCTCTGTTGAAGTCTGCCTCGTTGACCATCACACAGTTGGTGAGGGCGAGGCCCTCATTGGGACACTTGGCCACCCTCATGTTACCGGGGGTTGTAAACACTATTTTATAGCAGAACCTTCATGTAGACATGTTATTCATTCTAATTTCACTTATTTTCATAGTTATTGAGACGGCAAATAGAACATTAATTTAACTTTGTGTTAGTTACTATGCTTTTCCATTCTTTTACTGTTTTACAGAATTGTATGCAAAGTTTTAGGAATTATTATAAAGTGAAGCCAAATGCCAGTAAATGAGCAGTAATTGAGCAAGGCACTGGGTACTTCTGCTGCAATACAACAGCAATCATAACCTGTCCATGTTCAAAACTCTCTATTTCCTATCTATTCATGTTTCTTCACAGTCCACGTAATAATCAATGTAACCCTTTGTTTCAAATTTCTTCAGTAAAAATCAGAAAACACCAACTTTAATTCCCCATTATTTCAAGTACCGGTAGTTGCAATAGGCAAGTACAAGCTGATGACTAGTTCATCACACCTGCATAAAAATAGGCAAACTGCAACAATGATCTAAAAAAGGCAAGCATAAATTATAATCATAACAGTAGGAAATGAATTTTTTCACCAAATGAAATTGCCGTCTGTGAATTGAAACCCAAAAAGAGTACAAGTGGATGATGCATTGCACTTTTTTCCTAATCACTGCAGCTAAGTCTAGGTCCATAAGCCTGCTTGCCACATCTATGAGAGCCTTAAATTTTCCAGTCTATCTGCATACCAATGAGCAACCTAGCATAGGTCTTTTCAAATGCATCGAAATCAACAAAATTATGTACCAAAAATCTCTCCAATTGTATGGCTAAGGCTCTAGCTAGAAAGAAAGGTCCCGGTAACTACAAGCTTCAATGATCATACAGTAAGGAGAATTAAAGCAATGTTAGTCATGTGTCATAGAAGGCAGATAGTCTACCAATACTGCACACTGGAACCACGAATCATTGATCATAATAAAATGAGCCATCATCAATGATTTATAGCTAAATGTTTAAAAAATTAGTTAAGTATTTACAGTTTAATGAATGACAAAATTAAAATGATGCAAATAAATTCAGCATATTGGCCCAAAAGACAGTACTCATTGACGCAAAGTAAAACAAAGAATTTCCATGCATATTTTCGAAACAAAGTGGAAGACTTGGACACTGCTGACCAAGATTAAACTCTTACACGCTTGGCAAGCTCAGCTACAGAGAATGCAATGATGCATCACTGCACTCTGTAGCAAAAATCTTATTCCTGCAATCATTCTAGATGTCAGGTTTAGGCTGAACTATTGAACACATTTCCAACTGCCCCAAGTTAGTGACCATCAAGAAACGAATTTATGACATTTTTGGCAATAGGGGCAGTAAAATAATTAGTTTATTATGAAATCAAAGAGACTAAAGGATTTCTAATATTTCCAACACTTATTAATGCTCATTACAAGCAAGTCGTATGGTTTCCAAGGCAACTTTACCACATCAACTGCATAAGCGAAATTGAATACAAATGTAAGAATATGAGCTAGGAATGTTGGGGTCCTCTTACAGTTCACTCAACCATTTAGCGGGCAAGTTGACTACCGGGTGACTACCAAACTATAATTCACATTGGTGACCAAGCGGGTGACCAAATTCAAGGTAAGAAATAATATTAAAAATATTCCAAGCTCTCACCCCCTAAAAGTTTTACTTTTGACCAAAACTTTAAGCAAACAAAATTTGAATGATATTTCAATATTTACTGGCTGCACAAGAACTTTATTTATCTATTTATAATGCCCAGTTGATATTTTTTATGACAATATTTTATCTTTATGTTGAATGATGCTAGAGTGTAAATTTTTACATATTTACATGAAATTAACAGTTTAATTACATATTCTTTGCTGACAATGTTTTGTTAAAATTTATTTCCTGCCAGACTATTTGTTTGACCAGAAATTATACCGTCACGTAGTGCAGCACAGGCTTCCACAAGACCGCAGGTGAGGCTACAATGCTTTGCTCCAATCTTGTTCATAATTTGTACTACAGGAATAAATGAAACAATATCATATTCCTTGTTTTATGTAAGGGTAGAGCATATCAGTGAAATTAATTATAGAATAACATTATATTAACACCTGACTTCAAAAAATTAAGAGACCATAGATGCCTTTATGCCAGTTTGAACATTCATTAAATGATCCCATGTTTGTTCCACACAGCTAACTGAAGATAGCTGCATAATGCAGAACTCAATTCCATCCACTAGTGCCATCACACACACTCGTGGCACTTGGCTGATTGGAGGCACATATGAAAGTATCACAAGGTTCAAGCTACCATCAAATTGACAGGTTCTGAGCAGATTTTTTACCTACACACACTAGACAAGAGAACTACTCAAGAAAGTGCTGCACCTACTGTTCAAGAATTAATAACTTTTTAGGCAAAAACCAGAATTCCCACTTGACAACTGTATCATAGCATCAACAAGATGAAAGAGCAGCAAAAGCAATGGCAGAGTCTCTAAAAAGCAGTCAGTAGACAGACAAAAACTAAACAGCTGGAAGAGAATAAATTTAGCTCATAACTTGATGACCGCTTTGCTGTTGTAAATTCAGATGCATTAATAAATTTAATCAAGATTCCAAATGACCAAAATTTCTCACTTGCAGAAAGAGAGAAAGGAAGGCTTTATGTTTGGGTGAAATTGATATGGTGCTTCATGGTATGGAAAAAAGATGATATGGAAAAGATGACAGAGACCAGGAAGCAGGAAAAAGAATGTGAAGATGAGTGGAAGTCACAAACAGCCGCACATGGAGTTATTGAGAAGGGTCTCATCTCTGACAGCACTAACAGCAGTACAGAAGATGAGCTCAACCCTGCCTTGGGAAGTCATACTATAGAGACAATAAAAATAAAGAGATCAGCCAACATCACCACCACTGATGTTGCTTCACTTGAGATGACTTCAAGGAATTACTGCAGTAGGCTCTGATATTTCTTGGTAATGAGCCAAATGATGTTCACATTAATGCTCCGGGTGCCCATCACAGAGCCTGCTGGTATGATAAATAATGGGATTCACAATTTCATCTCACTTCCCTTCGAAACTTTACTGTCTTTAACTATCAACTAATTATTCATTTAATAATGTAATTAAGATGGCAATGAATTTTGATTTTCTATTACCAACAATTTTCATCTGTGAATATTTTACATATTAAATTTTTCCATAAATACTCTAATCCCAGGTCCAGTTCTGCACAGCTGCTTGACTCTTAAAGGACAATGGAAAATTATGGCTGCTTGCTGACCCCATCAATATCTGGACGGCTGGTCTATGGCATGGCTGAGTCATGAGTCTTGTGATTATATGGCATGGCTGAGTCATGAGTCTTGTACTTGCAGAAGTAATTTGAAGAATAGGTACTAATTAACTTGAGACTAGTAAAGCAGGTAAGAAGGGTGTAACCAGTAAAAAATAATACAATAACACATCCTGTTGGTTCTTTATTTGTTTTAACAATATTTATAGTACATTTTAATAGCATTATTCTCTATGAAACAATATAAGTAACAACTTACAACATTCATATTAATAATAACTCAAGATCAATCATATTCAAGATTCCAATAGGTAATGTGATGCATGAGCCAACATCCAAAATGAAATGATAGTAAATTTTGTGATTTCAAAGCCAAAGCTCATATTTTGCAGGAGCATTACTGCAGGCACTGCTAATTATATTCAACAAAAAATGTTAGCATTAGGAAAGAACTTGTAGAAGTTGGACCAATGAAGTGCTTGCCATTTGCTAAGACAAGCCAGCACGTGGAGAAGAGTGGTTATCTATATTATATTATCTTATCTATCTACATTTAAGATGACATTCCCTCACATTCATTCACGTGACTGTTGAGTGTTACTCTATGTGGCATCTTCACAGATGTAAAAAAATACAATCTGCTGATAGCAATCAATGCAGCTGCATAACTGTCATAAAATGTAATACAATTATTGAGAAATACATATAGCATTGCTCAAGGAAGATCAGCAAAGCTACCGAGCAGTACAAACTGTCATTAGAGCTTCCTGGTCAAACATGTTGGGTTCATGGATACAATATAAGAAAATAAGCACAGCCTTAAAAGCTTTGAATAAACTTATCCTGTCAGGAAAATAATGAAAAGTAATATATAAAGTAAATTGACTTCTCCTTTCAATAGGTTTTAGTGAACTCCTCCACCCTTACACACATAGGTTGATGCCCAATCTGTTGTCAATAGAGATGACTAACACCAGCTCTCAGACCTTGAAGAGTTATTAGTACAAAAAATCTTATATAGCCCTCCATTGTTCAGTTAAGAAAAAATCGACTCCTAAAGTAAATGCTGTCTAAATCTTAGGATGTGGTGATTAATGTTACAATTCAAATATGCAAGCTAGAAATAAACATATAGAGAGATTTCACAAACCTACCTTATATACGAGCTCGTGAACGTTATTTTCAATCTAGCAAATTGAACTAAGTAGTCTCAAGATTGAAGCCACTATCACTGCCACTAACAAGCTCATCACTGGAAAGACCCTTTGGCCAACACTCATTTATCCACTCAAACTAAAATACCTAATAATTGGTCAACTATATGAGCAATAAAATTCATATGCATAACTAACAGCATTACCAATCAGATGAAGTTTATATGCAGTCGGAGCCCCAAATGAGAAGACAGGCCAGATTACACAGCATCAAAACCTCGTTGAATCCTTGACATGGAAGGTGCATGGTTAGGGAGTCTCATTCAAATTTGATTGTGGCATAATAACCAAACACAATATATACTACTTCCACAAAACAACTGCCATAAATCTGCACACATTTCATCTGACATTTACCCGCTGCAACCTATACAAACAACCGAATTTTATCACCAAACACCCTCAACAAAATTTAGTTTGGATTGTCAGCAAACATAGTAGCACTACTTGTACTAATGGATTTTTCATAATCCAGAACATGATTGGATTTCAGGTGCCTTGTTAGAGACCATTTCTTACCAGCAACATAATCACTAAACTCACATGGAAATCCTTTCCCTAATCCAGGTTTAGAAAACATGTGGCTACCAAAAGCATCTTTACTACAGTTGACATAATCACACTGCTTGCATTGAAAACCTTTACCCAACCCGTGCTTAGAAAACACGTGCTCATTTAAATGACATTCATCACGTTTAGAATAATCACATAACTTGCATTTCGAGACTCCCAAACCATGCTTTGAAGAATGGTGCTTGCTGAGAAGAACTTTTCAATTAGTAGCATAATCACGCAACTTGCATTTGAATCTTGCCCCCTAAACCATGTTTAGAAAACATGTGTTTTTTGAGACGTTCTTGTCTGCCAGTTTCATAATCACACAACTTGCATTTGAATCCTTCCCCCAAGCTATGTTTAGAAAAAATGTGTTTTTTGAGATGTTCTTGTCTGCCAGTTTCATAATCACACAACTTGCATTTGAATCCTTCCCCCAAGCCATGTTTANTTTGAGATGTTCTTGTCTGCCAGTTTCATAATCACACAACTTGCATTTGAATCCTTCTCCTAAACCATGTTTAGAAAACAAGTGTTTTTTGAGAAGTTCTTGCAGGCCAGTTTCATAATCACACAACTTGCATTTGAATCCTTCCCCCAAACCATGTTTAGAAAACAAATGCCTTTGGAGATATTTTTTTACAGATGCAACATAGTCGCATAATCCACATTTTAATTTAGTTTCAAAATTATGTTCATCGATTTGATGGGCATTTGAAAGAACTTTGGAATGTAATGAATCAGTGGATGAGGAAACTTTGTGCAATTTCTTTGTTAATCTTGCATGGTCATTGTTGGTCAAGTTGTGTTCCAAAGACTTGAACTCAGATGCAGGCTGATCAAAAAGAACTTCTTGGACTGCACCTGCACTATTGGGTCCCAAATAAATGTTTTTCTCAGAAGCAGACATCTCTTTTCCCTTGGTTTCAGGATAAACACTCATCCATTCATCCTGCCCAATGTTGCCCTGGGCATTGCATGGGCTATCCTGAGGAAAGAAGACATATTCTTGCATGTAATTTCCCATATAAGGCAATGAAAATAAAATTGATGCAGTGTTCAAATAAATTCTAGAATTATATAATCATTATTATCTTTTGCATGCAAGCTTTTGTGTGGGCTAAATTCATGGAAAGCAGGAATTAAATTAACTTATATTAATACAATCAATAAAATTAAATATATACCAAATGAATGGAAAATCATTTTGGCAATTGAAATAGGAAGGTCATCTGAGCATGGAACTTCTATCAATACAAGCACATTAAAAAGCCTCATTTTGTTTCAGATGTTCATTCTGGGTGTGTGATCCAAGGATTATATATAGATTTTTTGTAAAAAACACAGACAAAATGCACTAGACAATATTTTCAAATAAATGTGCATTCATGTAAATTTTCAATAGAAATTCAACCCCAATATCAGAACCCAGAAGAACAAAACAGAAAGAAATAAGATACAGGGTGAAGGGAACGTCATTGCAACACGCATAGCAGGGTAGATTTATTGCTGCAGAAGTCTTGATCGTTTCTAGCCTGTGATAGAATATTTGTGAAAGACTTAAGATTCAACAGGCAGATATTCTATCAGAAAATGAGTCAAGAACCTTGGATGGGAGAACATAAAAATTAAAAATATAAATTGATCTACAAATGAGAAATGTATCAAAAATAGGAGCTGAAGAGAGACGAGATGTTCACAGTATAGCCAATGCAGACAGATCAACATTTCAATTCCTCAGAAGTTCATTTTTAGTCAGAAACCAGCTCTACTAACCTGCATATGAGGCACGGCAGCAGTGTACTGTGAGGTGCTGGTGCAGGCCTCATGAGCCTCAACTTGAAACTCTTTCTTGCATGGCTTGCAAGATGAGGGAAGTGGAGTTTGCTGGTCAATACATCATGAGCAGGAACATTAGTTACCATGCATGGATTCGGTCTAACTCAAATAGGATTATACCAAAGATAATATATAAAAATATTCAATTCAAGAAGACAGAATAACACAATGTGAATCAAATACCTCAATTTAATTACATTTAAAAGCAATTCATGAATTAAGTTACGTAGGTTAAAAAATTCCTTATAAGATTGTTCATAAGCTTTTTTGCTCTGTAAGCTTTTGCTTACTCTAAAAATATGATACATCTAAATTCTGATCAAGTTAATAATTTAGCACATTCATGCAGGATTGAGTTAAAGTACAAGCCAACGGATCATGTTAAAAATATCACCTCATATTCTTCACTGCAAAGTGGTTCTTCCTTCACAGTTATGTCCTCTCCTTCATCTTCAGGCTCCTCTTTGATGTAAACTGTCATGTCAGAGGGTGGAGATGAGCTGCTGCCCTCCATTACTGTATGTAATATACAGCAATTATTATTAGCATGATGATACTTGCAGCTAAGAATATCAACATAATACTGGGCTCAAGCCATCTTTAGTGCCTCCTCAACTCATTAGCAGGCAAGTTACTCTTATATGCTCACTTGAACTTGCCTCCCAAAAGGTCCCACTGCAGCCTCCAGTTTGTGGCAATGTCAGGCTGAATCAATGTTGAAACAATGCACTTTGTGACATTAACATCCAATTGATTATTAGTTCAGAATAAAAAGTAAATCAACATCATTTTTTCAATGTTGCATAAATTCGGTGCCTGAATACTGTGACATTCATGATGCAACATGTTAACCTGACACATAACTTTTATAAGTGCGCTTTTAATGCTGGAATTCAACTAGATTTCAACATTGAAACAACATCGAAATGTACAACGTTGAAAAAATTATGTTGATCAACTTTTTATTCTGGATTAACATTTGACGTTATTTCAACATTCAGAGTATGCTGATTCAACATTGATTCAACCTGACATTGCCTGATGGGACATCACCAATTATCTGCCCAACATTCCACTCCATTCATAGCATCACCCCTACCATGCCCAAGATTTAAAATATGTGCATTTAAATTAGCATTTAGACTTGGACAATGAGATTGATGATTTTTTAACATTTTCAAAAGATGGAAATAGTATTCATATTTTCATGCTTGCCCACAAAAAAGTTAATGATATGAATGTAATTATCCTTATAATGTGTAGGAAAAACATTTGACAGTTGCAAGTTGTCATCACCAACTTTCTTTCCAAACTGCCAAAGGATTTGGTTCAACAATGATATGATCAATAAAATCATGAATGTCAATGAAGTACAACATCTTCCAAATTCACAAATAAAATAGACTTGCAAGCACTAGTTGTGAAGCATACCTTCAGGCTCGAGTTTGCACACGTCAGTTGCTGCTTGAATGAGGCTCTGCTCAGGGCAGCAGCCACTCCTGACTGCAGCATCTGAGAGCTGGTGCAGAACAACTCTGCACTCTTTTATACTGTACGCCATGAGATTAATGTGGGGTATATAAGTTTAAGGTTTCCTGAGACACCCTGGAAGTAATAAAATATCCAGCGATAACCAACTTAAACCAAGTAGGAAGAGTATCTGTAAGCAATGCAAAATTAAATAAGTTGCAGTGAATAAATTGTTTCCTAAAATTCAACTGTCAATGACATATAACTTGCCATTAAGCTAATGCTGTAACATGGTGGAAATTGAGGTTTGGAGGTACCTTTAGGTCTTACTAGATCTGTCATAGGTCATACCAATAATTGTGTATGACAACCAGCACTGCTTTACACACTAGTATTGTATTTGTAATTTTGTTACATATAGTATGACACCAGCACTTCCATTCTTGCACAGAGGTAAGCACAACTCAAAACAATGAGTTTTTCACTAAATTGCTAGTGGTGTCATTTTACTCCCAAACAAATTAGTGTTCCACAAGTAGGACGATTTAGTTCTCAGCTATGCTCAGCCAAACCTGAACAACAAGAACATGGATATTCCTTGTAAGCCAGCAATTCATGTCTGGAAATTTAATCCTGATGGGATGCAAATCGGAAATCAATTGTTTTAAATTAATTTTCAGATCAAAAAACAATAAAGTTTACAAACTATAATTTACTTTCTGTTGACTACTGATGTACTTTTATTCCAGATTGCCAGAGCTGGAAGTTGAAACGAATAAGTTTAGGCCTGCCGTCTGGTGTCTGCCTATACACTGGAATGATTCTAAACAGTAAACAATTCATCTTTGTTTTTATAATATTCCAACAAATGAGCTAGATAATGATGATGTTTTTCCCTGAAGAACTACAAGTACAATTTGCTAAAAACTTATAAATTCCAAGAAAATTTGCCTTCATATTTGTCTTATGCAAATGTAATTAATTCCTTTATGTAGAACTATTATGATTGGAAGAGCAATTTTGCTAAAATGTAAATACTAGAACCAACTTAAACCAAGTAGGAAGAGTATCTGTAAGCAATGCAAAATTAAATAAGTTGCAGTGAATAAATTGTTTCCTAAAATTCAACTGTCAATGACATATAACTTGCCATTAAGCTAATGCTGTAACATGGTGGAAATTGAGGTTTGGAGGTACCTTTAGGTCTTACTAGATCTGTCATAGGTCATACCAATAATTGTGTATGACAAACAGCACTGCTTTACACACTAGTATTGCATTTGTAATTTTGTTACATATAGTATGACACCAGCACTTTCATTCTTGCACAGAGGTAAGCACAACTCAAAGTAATGAGTTCTTCACTAAATTGCTAGTTGTGTCATTTTACTCCCAAACAAATTATGTTCCACAAGTAGGACGATTTAGTTCTCAGCTAAGCTCAGCCAAACCTGAACAACAAAAACATAGATATTCCTTGTAAGCCAGCAATTCATGTCTGGAAATTTAATCCTGATGGAATGCAAATCAGAAATCAATTGTTTTAAATTATTTTTCAGATCACAAAACAATAAAGTTTACAAACTATAATTTATTTTCTGTTGACTACTAATGTACTTTTATTCCAGATTGCCAGAGCTGGAAGTTGGAACAAATAAGTTCATGCCTGCCATCTGGTGTCTGCCAATACACTTGAATGATTCTAAACAGTAAACAATTCATCTTTGTTTTTATAATATTCCAATAAATGAGCTAGATATGATGATGTTTTTCCTTGAAGAACTACAAGTACAATTTGCTAAAAACTTATAAATTCCAAGAAAATTTGCCTTCATATTTGTCTTATGCGAATGTAATTAATTCCTATATGTAGAACTATTATAATTGGAAGAGTAATTTTGCTAAAATGTAAATACTAGCTTCTGACCTTCAACAGCTGGGCCTTGAGTAGAAAATTCTTTATAAGGCTGCTATGATGAACATACCATAAAAAAGTTTGGTGCGTAGTGAAAATTTTTTGCCATTAATTTCATTGATTGAACAAATAGATGAATAATTGGTACCTAATGGAAAATATTTTGTGGGAACAGACTGTGTTAGTACCACAATCACAAGTAAAAATTTGGTGTCATGACTCATAATGAATGATAACTTGTCATGATGATGATGTTTGAATGATGGCATTCAGATGAATGATAAATTGTCATGATGATGATGTCTCTTTTCAGGTGTCATAAACTACCCCAATCAGGGGTATTTAGGCATTGTCACACCTGGACATGGCAATTTTAAAGTTTCTTTTCAAGTTTTCTTAGTCATCTCTGATTTCTATCATTTCAAGTGCAGTCAACTTACCAGGGCTTTAGCTTCACAAAGTCCCCATTTGGCCGGTACTTGTGATAAAGGTGATTACGGTCTTGATCACAAGGTGCTGTTCCTGTTTTGTAAGGTCGCTCCCTCCCAGCAAGGTTTGCACCGTCAGAGTCTGCATGCCAATATTCCATTAAGTCCTTCTCATAAGTTGACGAGCATTATTATATTGGGTGCATTCAAGTAGAAAGTGGTCAATGGTTTCATCAACATTGCAAGTGTTGCACAGTCGAGAGTCAATAATTGAAAATCGGTGCAGGTAGGCATTTACCCCAGAACATCCAAAATGAAGGAGGGCCAACACACTGGATGCTATACAAGTTTACTAGATTTTGCATGCAGCCATGGCACCAGCTATCCACCAACTCATTCCCATGTATCCCAGCACGGGCTTTTAGCCTTTTACCCATTGTAATACCAGTTGTCTTCCATGGTTGAGGGTCCAAATAAGTCTATGGATTAGCAGGACCAGTAACAGTAAAAAGCACTTCATAATACCACTACGTGGTGAGCACAGAAGCAAGCATGGAAAACATCTACATTAAGGGCCACAACTAAAGCTTTCCCGCCATTTCCAGAACTTTCAGATTTCCACCAGCTGAATTACTTCCTATCTAATTGTTAACGATATTGCATGATCAGGCCGCAAGATTCCGAATGTATTAAAAATTTGTCACATTGGAGCTACCGGATTTCAGAAACAAGTAGGAAAATTCCAGTACTGTGCAGAAGGAGCAGCGCCAATCGAGGGTCAGTACATGTTACCCAGTTAGGGTTGTTAGACTGCTGAGTGATGACAATTGACATGACAAGTGAACGATACAGGGCTGTCAGCTTTGTCATTAGAACATTACAATTGGAGTGGAGGCACCAAGTACGGAGCTGGAAAAGTCATATTTTTCTGAGATATCGCAGCTCTAATATCATATAATTTCAGTGGGGATGAAATCTTGTGACTCAAATGTCATAAAATTTTGTTTGGTTGAAAAAATCACGGATCACACTTAGCAAACATGTCATTTCATAAAATTTTCAACTTCTGCAATCCGCATTGTTTTACAGTTCTCACCAAAATATCCTGCAGAATGTAATCATTGTAATGTAAACAAGTCAACCTAAATGTTTCATTGAAGATGGTGCATAGTTGCGGTCACATCAAAGCAGTCAGACTGCATTAACACGTGTTCAGCTGACAGTAAAGACAAATGTTATTGTTGCCGTTTGACTGTTTTAGGGTAAAATTAGAGATTTGGGATAACACGTGCATGGACTTTGTAAATAAATTCGCACCTCATATATGGCTTTTCATGGCCAAGATATGGAAATCACAGTAAAAAAAATGGAATCATGGCTGGCAAATCCATTGAACCATGGCTCAAAAAACTCAGTCACGGCTTGACAAGTAGATATATTCCATGCCTGATAGTGCTAAATGTGGCATATTGCTAAATGTGGATTTTTTAGAATCAGTTCATTTTTAATTTTTTCATTTACTCAGAAACCAATGTCTTATGTACCGTAAAATGGGGTAACTTAGACCACTTTTTTTTATAAATGATGCCATTTTTTTACTAGCTAAATCAAACTTGAATTGAAACATGCAAAATACAGCTTCACTCACCATAAATTGCTGGCTCCTGCCTCTCATAGTCTTCATGTCATTTCAAAAAAAGTGATGGTCTTTGTTACCCTAGCTCTTGGGGTATCTTAGACCGGGTGGTAAAATCAATTATATTTTTTGGTAAAATAACTCCAAATAACTCCAGGTTTTGGTGCATTGTAGTAGAACTCTTCTAGTTACATATGCAAATGATAAACTTGAGGAAAGTGTTAAACGCCTCCCCTTACAGTGTCATAGTTTGCAAATGGGGGCGACACCCCATAATGGGGGAAATGTGACTACCTAATGGCAGCCCTGACGGGGTAAATATTGACTGGCTTGGAAATTAAGTTAAAATTACCATATATAAGACTCTGTAGAGTCTGAAACTTAAAGAAAAAACATAAATAGGCTGTCAAACATAAAATATGTTATATATGGTAATTTTATAGTAACTTCCAAGCCAGTCTATGTTACCCCATCAGGGCTGACATTAGGTGGTCTAAGTTCCCCCATTTGGGGGCGCCAACTCCCATTTGCAAACTATGACAATTTCCTAAAATTTGTCATTTGCATTTGTAACTAGAAGAGTTCAACTACAATGCATCAAAACCTGGAGTTATTTAACCAAAAATAAAAAAATTGGAGGGGGTACTCTGACAGGCTTTAAATAATAGCTTTTTTTCATGGGTCACATTTTTAATTTTTTAACCTATTAGATATGCAAACTTTTTAAATCTTTCTATTGTGTTATGTAGCCTCAGTATTAGGCCTTTGATGCCCATTGACAAAATTTTTCTATGTCAAATAGTTTTTGAGTTTTGGGGGCTTTTGTTAAAAAAACGAAAAGTGGTCTAAGTTACCCCGCCGGTCTAAGTTACCCCATTTTACGGTATTTGATGCAGGTATCCATGATACTTTGCTTGTCTACTTATAGGAATTAAAGTTAAACTTGAATGAGAGTCTAAAAACACTCTGATTTGCCAGTTTGCCACTATCCTGCCAATGGATCCTACGCATTATCATATATATACTCATGGTATTGGTAAAGCCAGCTATTCCAAATCATGTAGGTATGTGCACAAAAAAAAAGTTTCCTTTGATCATAATGAAAATTACACCACTGAAAAGAGAAAAAAATTTAGAAAATGAGCGTAGTAGGTCAAAAAGTGAATAAGCTATGAATTTTTTTCATTTTCAATTTCACCCCAAAAATGGAC